CTTTTCTTTCCCTCCCTGTTGAGTGCTATTGAGGCTTGGTAACAGGCAGGAGACAGGCAGAGAGAGTGACTGAGAATGAGAATAATAATGAAGCTGATGCTGAAAATATGGAGGAATACTTTCGACCTGAAATTGAGAACTGATGGAAAGAAAAACTGTGAGACATCCAATCAACTTTTTTAAACAGACTATGACCAAGAGGAGAAATTTCATTCAACTGTCGATGACAGGCAGCACAGTCTCAAACCAGATAATCCGCATACAGATATGGTATACAGAGGGAATAGTTCACATGTGCTTCAGCCACACCGAGATCATAACTGGGCAATTATGAACTTTATCAGACTGTAAACAGGATGTAGAGCTAGGAGAGAGTTTGGTCTGCGTCTGAAGAGATATGACTCACAGATTCCTCAGATACCGACAGGGTTGAAATGATCCCACCTTGAGTGCTCGTCTTCCTCCTTTCCTTATATCACTCATGTCAGGCAGTTTTGCCTTAGAAGAACTTAAAGGAAAGTTCATGAGACAAATGCCATATCCGACAGCATCAGACAGGGATTCTCAGAATTAGGTCATCTGAACCTTTGATGTTAGTATTTCAACACAGTCCCCAAATCCATCCAAAACCCAAGGCGACACAGTGCGGGAAGCTGGTCTCTCTCCGAAGTCATATCTCTTTCTCTTTCCCTCGGAGCTGATCTGTCATCATAAGCCCCTGAGTAATGCTAAGTGGTTGACTCTCTTATATTGCCAGAGGTGATGTTCAGAGTAAAGCCATTATCAGTGGCATTAGTATGCATGCTGAGTTCAGGCAGCCTAGCCAGCGCATAAAAGTTTTAGGGTGCATGACACAGCTTTGGGTGGGAAAGACAGCGGGGAAGAGAAGAGAAAGACTGCAAAGAAAGTGAGAGGGACCAAGTGAATGAGACAGGCACATGGCAAAATAGCTTAAGAAAACAAACATATTAACCCAACCTAAGTTGGTCAGGCTGGTCTGGTTTGCTGGTTTTGGACGGGTTTTGGACACATACACTAATTGAAAACCAATTTGGGTTTGCTGCTAGATCAGCTGGGACAAGTTTAAGCCAATCTTGGGCAGGATGGAAGACCAGTTAGAGTAGCTTAGACCAGTGTTATTAAACTGGGAATTCAACCGATTCTTGTTGAGATCGAGGTGTAGGGTGAAGGGATAGGGCTACATAGCCCTCGAAACGGAGATTTTTCAGAGGCACACTCCAAATGGAGGGCTACGAGAAAGTTCACAGAATGCATCGCAAAACATCGGCGAGATGGCTTCGCTAATGGTTAAACATTTAAATTTAGCGCTAGATGATATCACCATGCACTTTATTTACTCTATAGTCATTTAAATTAAGAAATTGTATAATAAATTACCTTTCCGAATCAGAAAAGACATACATTTCAAAGAAAGAATGTTATAATCATCATTTTTCCTCAATGTTCAGAGCAGCTGCGGTGATTGTCAGTCATGGAGAAATCCTGTAAAAACGCCATAACGGCAGAGCCATCGCCGACGACTGATGACGTATTGGGTTCATGAAAGGTTGTTCCATTTCATAGGGGAACATTTCAACCCCTTGGCCCTTGTAACTCTGTTTTGAGGGCCAAGGTGTGCACTCGAAAACAAGGGGTAAGGGGTGAATTGGGATTGAGCCTAAAACTTAAACTAGAACTCAAATTGAAAAGGTGAATAAAAAATAACTAACAATTATCACAATACAAACTATATTAAAATTCAAAACTAAAACTGGCTCAGTCTAGCTTAAATCAGCTTAGACCAGCAAACCAGCTGGAGAGCGGACGTTTATGCCTAGAATACGATATGTTTGTTTGTGTATAATGACTAAATCTTTTTGCCCTCTCTCCACAGCGGTCTTGGATACATCCTGGGATCCATTGCTAAAGATGCTGGAGGGGATTGGTACTGGGCACTGAGGGTAAGAGCTGTTAAAATGTTTTCTTATGTTGTATCAATATTTTAGAGGAAGCACGCTCAACCTCCACAAATATACACCATTTCCTCTCGGGCTGGTCAAAAATATCCCTAAAACCCATGGCAGACAGGTGAATCCTGAAATACCTTCAGCCGTCTCTTGAAAAAGCAACATAACATTCTTGCCCCCTTGAAGCCAATGCAATGGGCACTGAGTACCCAGCTAGCTCAAGTGCATTAATATAGCATTACCTCCAGCTCTCTCGGGTCCGCTCACACACGCTATCCGTGAGTAATGCAGTCTTCACAGTCTTTGTACTGCAAAGGCCCAGGAGAAGAGGGGGCTCACTTACACAGACCCTTTTGTTGTAGGATATTCCTCAGTAGCCTTGATTTGCACTGCTAACCAAAAGCCCAAAATAGAGCACCTTTTAATGCAGCTCAAATGAATAATTTATGAAATGATTGAGTGAGAGGAAGGGTAGTGGTCTGCAACTTTTGGGCAGCGAAAGAGAGAGCAAAAACAACTTTTCTGAGAAAGTGAGAGGCCTCTCAAGTGCTTTAGATTCCTGTCTTTCTTCCTTCATTAGCTCAGCGCAGTTTTATAACCAACGGTTTCTCTTGTTCAGTTCAAACTTTAACAGGTGGATGCTCAAGTTAGCAGGCGGGCTTCATTACTTGTTCCTTTCTCGGGGTCATAAAGAATCGACCGATGGTTTTATCGTGAACTTGAACTAAACTTGTTGTATGGCTGCCTCTTAAAACTCCAGCGTGGTTCTGTTGTCAAGCTCTTAGGCCTGAAAGGAGACTTTAAGAGGAGCATTAAACCCTCTCGTTCTTACAAAATAACCCCTGAACATGACAGTTATATGACCCTCAGGAACATAAATGGCTTTATTTGGTAGCTAGTTTATCAGAACGCTTTTGAAAACAGTAGCAGAGCTCCATTGTTTGAGCTCTTGGATGCAGTAAAACATTCCTTGAGGAGACAAAGCTCATGGTTTGGGGGACTATTAATCATCACTAGCACTTTAAATGAGTATAAAAATAACAGACAGATGAAAAAGGTACTCCATATCAGCCATATCCTGCCCTGAAATGGGAAAAAACACTCCGTGCCACTTTCCGCTTGTTTTGCAGGCCCTTAAAAAAACTCAATCGCCTTCCGTTCTCGAAGAGGGAGTGTGTTTTTTTGGAGCGGAAGATTATATCATAATTATTGAGAGCCATATCAATCTTCTGCAGGTCGAAGTGGGGAAATGCCAGGATAAATAGCACCTTGATCTCTCTTTCTTTGATTACACTCGTCCCAACTCTAACCTTAACAAGCACGAAAGAAGCTGCGCTAGCTTGAGATTAGCAGGAAAGGGCAACGTCTGACAAAGTGCGAGACAAGAGTCAAAGTTCAAGATGACTGATCAACGCAGGCTTTGATATTAAACTAAACCAGAGAGGTAGGGAGGGATCTCCACAGTGTGACTGTTAGAAAATAGGTCCACTGAAAAGACCTTTTTTTACGGCTGCTGGGTTTTCTAGTTACAGAGGGATAACAAGACCAAATCCAGGCTTTAGCGAGACACTGCAGCTCTGTATCAAAAGCACCGCAGTGCACACAGACACACATTCAGTCCACAGAATCATAGTATAGTGCGGGAAACAGCAGCATGTCAATGGGATGCAGTGATCCGTTTCCCTCTCATGCTATTTATAATGCTGAACACTACAAAAATAAAACGTTCACAAATTTGTTAGATAAACGTTAAACGTTAGATAATAATCAATATTTCTTATAATTATTCTCCAATACATTCTTGAATTAAGTTATATAATGTTGAAAACAGCTGTGCTGCTTAAAATATTTGTGGAAACCACAATACATTTTTTCATCTTTAATGAGCAGAAAGTTGAAAGTTACTGCGTTTATTTGAAGCTCTGAAAGAAATCTTATAGACTACAAACTTTTGAACAGTAATTTTTAATTCTTAAGATAGATTCAACATTATATTATCTTAATTTTGCTTATACAATTGAATCTTGTTTTAATTTAACTTTTTTTTTACCTGAAAATAAGACAATCAGGAACTTTTTTGCAGTGCAGATGACTAAATCTTTACAAGAAGAACTATACATACCTATAAGACACAATTATGAGCAGAGCGTTGCTTTAATGTGCTATAAATGA